AGCTTACCCATCCCTACTTTAGAAGATTTAATTGTCATGGCTGTTTGGCTAAATGTTATCTCACAAAGTAATTTTATTTTGGAGGCCTCACCAGTTTTTGCAGATGCTCTTTTTTTTTTTTTTTTTTGAACTTGTCAAAATAACAGAACAAGAAATGTACCCTCACTGAATAATCTGGAAATGATGAATGTATGTGTACATTTTTGCCTTTTTTTTTGGTAAACAAAACAATATAAAAATAAAAAGGGATACAGTTGTATAGAATTAACAGGAAGTATGCAAGTATGTAAACATAACTTTTTCTTACTCTTTTTACCACAAAGATAGAGAATGTAGTTTCCTAGAATTATGACCTAAAGTCCTAAGCACCCAAAGTGCATCAGGTAGACTGGGCACGAGTTGTGAATCTATTTAAATACACGTTTTATTTTCTTTCTCCCTCCCTTCCCTCTCCTCCCATTTTAGGAAGGAGCGGCTATTTAGGTGTTCTCAATGCAAAGTTGCAAGATACTGTGGTGCGCACTGTCAGGTAATTATTATTTTGAAGTATAGATGGACAATGCAACATTCAAACTTTTTAACTTTCTGAGATTGTTTTCTAATTACACAGTCCTATTTGAACTGGGGTACCGGGAACTAGACATGGTAATCCAAAAGGGGTCTGGCCAGGGCAAAGTAGAGTAGAAGAATTACTTCTGCAGCCTGCATTCTGTGTATCTGTTTATACACCCAAGATGGCATTTCTCTTTTTAGCAGCCACATCACACTGTTAGTTTACCACTCCATAATTCAGAATACATAGCTAATGATGATAGACAATATAGTTTCTTTAAATACAAGATGTTTAATCTGTACAATTTTTATTTGTTTTTGTTAATTATATTCTGTAAAGTGCATTGCAAACACTTTGTACTCCATGTGAAATAGCATTTAAAAAAAGAGATGGAAGTAAAACTTTGGAGGAGGGGTCATTTTCGAAAAAAGTGCTAACTATTAAAGGGAAAATACTTTATTTTCACTCACAGAAAGAAGCCTGGCTGGACCACAAACGGGAATGCAAATGTATGAAGCATATTGACCCTAATTTTCCTCCTGACTCAGTGAGGCTTGTTGGCAGGATTATTTTCAAAATAGTAAGTTAACTTTTTATACATGAATAATTCTTGGAAAATATATCTGCTCTACTTCTGTTAATGTGGATGCAGATTGTGTATTATGGATTTCAAGCTGTCCTTGATATGGGGCCTCTGGGAGGAGAGGCTGAGAGAACCTTTCACCCAGTCAGATTTCTCCATGTTTTTACTTGACCAAATCCTTTAGAAATCTCTTTGAACCATCAAGACCTTGGTATAGCACTGAGCTCAAGTGAGACTTGATGAACTGATATTCTAACCTTGTCCTGGTTATAGGAGAAAGTAGGGAAGCAGCCAGTTTACTCTGTTTAACTCTTCTTTCCTTGACTTGTGTGCATCTGGCTGGTTTTTTATAAGAACTTTGCAATAATAAGAATTGTTGCCTGAATTTACTTGTTCTTGTCTTCTGTCCCTTTCCCTTGTGTGTTGTCTTTCGGGACTGTGCACCTGAGGAAAGAAATTAACATGTATTTTATTGCTCTATAAGATCCTCTGAGTGTCTGAGAGCAGAATAAAATGTGCTATGCTATGTGAGTGTGTGTGTATGTGTGAGTGTGATCACTCTCTGCACTAATTAACAGGAATGAAGGTATTGTCTCCTCACTTGACTAGCTTCTAAGATATGGAAAAAGAAAAAAAAAGATGACCAGAGGTATATATTTTCATGTGTTACTTTGAATTTAAAATCTATACAACTAACAGCTGGATGTGATATGTTACAATACACATTTGTATAAATTCTTTTGAAATTATTTCAGCTGCAATCTTGGGCATCTGATCAGAAATTAGAAATAAGACAGACCATGCAAATAAATGTAATAAACCAATCCATCATAAGTGTCATCACATACACACATTTTTTGTCACTATAGATAGTGATTTTATAGTAAATTGTATTGAAGTTCTAAATGAAATCCTACAAAAATTGCTTGAAAATGGAAAATAGTATTAGTGTACTTTGTGCTGTTGGCTTAAGAGTTAATCAGTTTGATCTTAGGCTGATGCTGATGCGAAATTCCATGTTTATTTCATTTCTTCAAAATGATTAACATCTCAGTTATTTATGAGAGGTTGGTCTTTTGGCACCCATTTCAAAGAGGGACTCCTTAAGAAGAATTCTTAAATATCACACCCACTTTGATGTAGTGGGTGAGCTTAAAAAGACTTGTAACGACTATTCCAATGGAGAACTTGATAAAATAATATATGAACACCAAGAAGATGGGAAAATAGATTAAATGAATAATAACGCAAATGATAGGATATAAAATGCTAATAATATTTTTCCAATCATGAAATAGGCACAAATTATTTTATTTCAGATTATTATTGTTTATTACATGCATGTATATCAGGATCATAGCTATTTTTAAAAAATTTAGAATCAATTAGCCAAGCTTATTTTTATTCATTAGTGTTTTTATGTCCTTAACAGTTAAGGCAATCAGCATGCCCATCAGAAGAGCTGTATTCTCTTTCTGATCTTCAGTCAAGTAAGTGGTTATTAGTAGTGTTTTGGTATATTTTTCTCACTCTGAAGGGACTCTACTATGTTAAAAGATGTGTGAGAACGCATTTTCTTTTCAGTATTTTATCCTAGTTGGTTAGCAGCTTCATGGTGAGGATTTCTGGGCTCCCTTGAATCTGATGAAGGAATTGCTGTTTGAAGGCAACCAGCATGGTGGTAACAGTGATGATGGTAGAGGGTCTCCCAGTTCAATCAAAGGGCATTAACTGAATCAAGGCAATTTAAAGGATAATTTTGGAATCTCTCTGCCCCCATACCAGATGTTTGATCTTGGAATACTAATGAAATTTTTCTATCATTCTAAATTATGTATAGTGAGATAAAATATTATTTTTATTATATATGCCTTACTAATTGCCTTTATTTTAGTTTTTTTTTTTTAGTATTTATTTTAGTATTTTTTTGACATTTGGACCAAATTCTGAGACTACATTGTCACACCTTTCAAAAGAAAACCTGCAGGTGAAAGTTACATTTTCATATTTTGGTGGAAATGTTTTCCCTGCTGAATTTGGGGACCTAAATAATAATCAGTGTGCCTGCAGATGCAATATTAATAAAAGATTATAGATGACATTGAGTTAGAGCAGGGTTAGAATGAACTGTGCATCCATCTCCTGCTTTCTCTCCTGAGTTACCAATATTCATACATATGTATAGATGGTGGGAAAGAGCTAAAGGTGCTTCTGGAATAACATGTAAAAATGTTCTATATATGTAATTTTCTTTTGTAGTGTTTCATCTTCTAAGGATTTTTTTTAACCTAAGAAAATTTAAACAATTTATTTACTTGATTTCAGTTTAGTTCATTTCCTATTTCCTTTGGTTTCATATGAGATAGGAACTAAACTTTTGATCATTTGCCATACAATTCCTATGGGATGTTTCTTCCCAGGCAATAGTTAATTGTTCCAGTACAGATAATTGTGTTCCATTAAGATTATTATTATTACTATTATTGATTCCCTAAATTTCCCCCAAAGTTTTGGATGGATATAGTGTTCTATTTTGCATCTATCTTGAACTGAAATACAGTTGGTCCTCAGTTAATGACCACTTGTTCAATGACTGTCCGAACTTACAATGGCACTGAACAAGTGGTGCTTACGAGCATTCCTCGAATTTATGGTTGTTGCAGTGCCCCATGATCATGTGATTGTGATCTGGGCGCTCGGCAACCGGTCTACTTTACTGACCGTCACAGCATCCCACAGTCACATGGTCGCCATTTGTGCCCTTCCCTGCTGGCTTCCCACAAGCAAAGTTGATGGGGAAGCTGGCAGGAAGTCACAAGTTCCAGTCATGTGAGGTCCTTGCGTAATGATTTGTGATGATTCGCTTAGCAACAGTAACTGGGGACTGCCGGAACCTCTGCGCTAAGTGGCATGGCCACATGATGTTGTGCTTTACAACTGCATTGCTTAGTGATGGAAATTCTGGTCCTAATTACTATTGTTGAGCAAGGAGTACCTGTATACTGTTCTCTTAAATAATTGCTGCTTTTAATCCCAGTGGTGATTTTATTTGACTGATGGGTGAAGTTAGTACTTTTCTGTCTGTCTCTGAAATAATTTAATGTTTCCTTTTAGAATGCATTATGTTTCTTTCTGCTACATGGTCTTTGTAATATTCTGTTCTTAAGATTAAATAATAGAAGAAAATAAGACCACAGGTTCTTTTCCAGGGGGAAGTAGAAATACATGTATGACTACAGCCGCATCATTTTCTTCTGGAGCTGTGTAATCTAATATGTTTCTTTATCTTCCAAGGGGTGGGGAAAATAATTTTGTTCTCCTTCTTCTAGATAAATAATTTGACAACTTCAAGGCTTGTAAGCTTGGTAGTTGTAATGCTAAGTTCCATTTGTGTAATCTTTGTGACTGCCTGGTCTTCAAAAATTATTGCCACTGAAGGCTGTTTGCAATTTAACATAGATATGCTGCTCATATGATGTAGAACAGCCCAGTTCAAGGTTAGGGATGAGAATCCTGGATGTGTTTTTCCACATCCGGTTCCTCTCACTATCAGGAAACATAAGTGAAATAATTTCCCAGAGACGTTCAATTGGCTACTGTGGGAACAGATTATTGAACTAAAAGACCTTTGGTCTGCCAACATGGCTGCTTTTTTGTTTTCAGAATTATATTTATCCTATTTTCGTTGATTTATTCTCCCCCATCCAAATACTATTTTGCTCTAGGGATAATTAATTCTGTTATATCAAAGAAAAAGTGATACAAATCAAAATAATTATTAAATTAATTAAATTAAAAGAATTAATTAATAATGACAGTCAAAACATAAGTAAAACAGATATAAAATGCAAATCAGCTTGAGAGAAAACAAATGATCAAGAACACTAATTAATAAATAATAATAAAAAGGGGGGGAAAGAATACTAGATATTTAAGTGTCTAATAGTAATAGTGATTGCAACAAATTTAACAATCCTTCCAAAGATATTTAGTGACCTGTCAGATAAGAAGTGAATTATCTTCCCCAGTCTTCCATGTCTGTGAGTTAAGAAAAGCATTGATAGTTCAGTTTGCTATGTCACATAAAAGGGGTATCATATGATGATATTTGAGACTTTCTCTTTGTTATAAATTACCTGGACAAAGTTGCAGAAGAACACTGTGAAATTTTCTTTCTAACAAGGAAGATGGTAAGCCATTATATTGGGTAAGAGAAAAGACTCTCCTATGGGTTGGGAAAAGGATGTTTTCTAAGTATTTAGGGTGAAACAGCAGTCTCCCATACAAGCCACTGTGAACAAGGAAGAGGTTTTGACTAAATCATGCTGAATGTCAGTATCAAGGGTCTACTGTTTCAAATCCACCCTGACATTGAATATATTTTTATCTAGCTAGCTAACTAGCTAGCTAGCTATCAATCATCTATCGCTTCAGCTTTTTGTTCATTTTATTAAGGACAAGTTATTATAAACAATTAATTTGGCTATGGATTGACAGATTAGTCTTTTTTAATTTTGCAAGTATTCCCTTAATACTGTATATGGTCAAGTTCCTGCCTCATTCTACTTACTTTTTAAATGCACACAGACCACTTATGTATGCAGTTTTCCACTCTTGTGGAAGAGCATACTGCTGATTGAAAGAAATCAAAGTATTGTCATCTTGCACTGAGAAAAATATTTTGAATGACATAAAACTACTATTGTTACTGTAAGACACTTAACTGATTTTGCTCTTTACCATCTCTTTGCACATCTGTTTTGTCCTAAGATTTTGCTCTTTCATTCACATAATATTTGTACAGTTTGGCAATAACAACCTGGTGGTGAGAAGTTGCTGTCAAAAATAAAGTAATATATCTCGTCTCTTTGGGGTTTGAAATGTTTACACTACCAAGCTGATTCTAGATTGCTTAAAGATGTTGGCAGAAGGTAATTCTCACACTTTTTAATATGTTTCCTCTTTTTAAAGATGGTGATAAGTTAAGTGAAGACATGAAAGAAGGCCTCAGGCACCTTGCTAGGACGTTGCAGCTGTATTTGAAGGTGGAAATCCAAGATGTTTCTCAGCTTTTGCCGGCCTTAGATATTTTTCAGATCTTTGCAAAAGTAAGTGTTAAAAAGAGATTCCTGAAGACTCTGAAAATGTGTGGTCATTATCCATATTTTTTATGCTTTCATGTTCTGTGAAAGAGCTATTTTAAACCATAATACACTGCCAGATATCAGAGTGAGTGAACAGTAAATTTATATACCACTTCAGCAATTAAACAGATCCATTTACAAAGGTCAGAATCTTTTTTTTAATACAATAGCAGTTTAAATAGGATTGTAATTCAAAAAATTAGCATATTAAAAAAGGAATTATGACAATTTACAGAATGCTGATATTGAAAAATAACAGAAAATTTTAAAAGTAAAAACATATGTCGCTTTTAAAAACATGGTTTATGCATTCCTTTTTGTTTGAAATTGGTATCTTTATTGCAAAAACAATGCAACAAAATTTATATTTAATGATTACTTACTTTGATGAATGCCTTGTACTTGACATATTTGTTACCCAGCATTAACAGTTTAATTATTTTTTTGTTCCTGATATAAATGTTAGGTGAGGTTAGTAATCTTCTACAATATTTATTATTTGGTTTAGGTAACTGAAAGAATGACTACATAGGATAATGTTGCTATTTCCTGTAGCCATCATCCACTGCAATGACTTTACTTTGAGTTTTTTTTTACCATTTTCTGGAAATGTAGTAGCAAATTTAGAGTAGCTATTGCATGGTTTGTAGATCCGTCTAGATCAAAATGAGAAGCTTGTACGTTCAGCTGTTGTTAAGATATTTTTTGCTGTAATGAATGTCTGTCTTTGAGTTTAATTTATTCACATTGGCTAAAAGACAGTGCTTTATAGGAGAAATGTTATCTGCTGTTCTAATACATAATTGCTTTTTGTGGGATAAAACATTAATTTTTAAAATTGTTCTAAGCCAATGTTTTGATTTTGCTACAAAAATAAATAGCAAAACTCAGGATAAGGTATTTTTTAAAAAAAATTAAAATTAGTGTCTGAATTAAATCCATGAAATAAGTCTTCCTTTGTGATGAATATAATATTACTATATTAATGGTATAGTATGAAGGACATAAATTGGCATAATCTGCAAACTTTATATTTAGTTGGTCGTCTGTATAGATTTTGTATTTATTTGTGGTATAAAATTGAGTAAATAAATAATGAATTTTATACCATTATATATCAGTTTTGGATGATTAATTGTATGTATGTATTTACTTATTTTATATGACTGCTCATCTCATATGCAGGAATCTGGGCAGTTAACAGTTAAAAACAGAATAAAAATAGGGTAAAAAACAACCAAAATTAAAAACAACAGAAATAACATAAGATAACATAGCAGCTGGGAACACTCATTTAACACAACCATGACCAAGAAATGGGCTCACCCGTACTATGATTATGTTCCAAATAGTTATGTTTAGGAATACACTATTATTGTATTCATTTCTTATGTTGCATAAAATGACCATCTGCTTGGAAGCTTAAGACTTGGTATTATGTTACAACATCTTACCATTCATTAGCAAGTTACTAACTTTTGAATGGACGGACAGAAAATTATTTGCAAATAATCTTGTGGGAGAGAAAGGATCCTGAAATATTTTTGATGGCTTTAAATTATACTGAACGGAATACAGATGCGGCCAAAAGTATTGGTACCCCTCCACTGTTCCCCAGAGAATCCCAGTTTGTTGAAATGTTGAAACTGACTAGGTAAATGGCATCCACCATTCTTGGTAGAGAAGCATTGGCTGCATCTGTAAGTATTGGCTGCATCTGTAAGTTATCACAGAATAAAACAAAACTATTGTAAGAAAAATAATCAGATGTTCCTTTCTGTGTATCTCCTATGCATGAGATACTTATTCTAAATTTGAATGCCATTCTTTCATTTATGATCAGTTTTTAGTAATTGCTATAGTACGCCACACAAGTCGGTTACAGGCTGCTTAATGTAGGTGCTTCAGGAATGAGAATAAATCTATAGCAAGATAAAAGAGAAAAACTAATAAGCAGCCCTATACAAAGGTTACTAATTCCTGACGTATTTTAGAAAAGTATTCATCAAACAGAGATTCCAGAGAATTTACCCTAACCTCCCCCTTTTCTTTTATCCTTATGTTATTCACAGTGTTATTGTAAACCTGCTTAGTTTTGCTGCAATGCCAAGAAGGACACTGGAAGCTCAGAATGAAACATGTGAATATGAAAGTCACAAAATAGAGATTTATTCATAATAACATGATAGTTAATAATACCCTAAAAGCTAAACTATCTTTCCCCTGTGGAATTTATTTATTAGATTCTCCTCAGTTTTCATGAAGTTATTGCACGTTTGTTGTCTGTAATAGTCAATTCTGGTTAAGCAAAGTTTTTTTTTGTTAAATACATGGTAAGCTAGCTAGAAAATTCCAAAATAATTTGTTACTGTAAGCACCGGAAAATATCAATAAAATGCAGGTTCAATTAAGGGAACTGCACTGATTTATAACTGTAATACAGCTACGATTTTGAAGGAATGCTGCTCAAGAAAGTAAGGGTTTTTTTTTTAAGCTAAAAGAGCCTTATATAATGTTCAGTTAATTTTTAAATTGAAGGAAGAGAGAAAACAATTCATTCTATATCCACTTCTTAGAATATAGTGGTTCAATAAACATATTTTGCATTTTAATTTCACTTTGGGGATTTAACTAATTTGATGTGCATATGTGCATATGTGTGTGTATGATATCACTACTCTTCAAGAATAAAAATAATTTAAAATAATAAAACTAAAAAAATTAACAGATATTGGTTCCATTTCTGCTTAGTGCTAGGAACATACAGAAAATCTAGGATCTTTAGCATTTCCAAGTGAAATTGCAAAAGACGTTTGACTGAAATCCTCTTTCCCCCCCCACACACACACCATATATACATATACATGCTTGCATCTTAATGCTTCCCCATTTGTTTTTCCATCTTTAGTAAACATTTTATAAAGGTAGATACTTTATTTTACTTGTTCTGGTCTATCCCCATATCTCTAACTTGGAATTGGAATGCTGTGGCCTTTTACTATATAATTGACATTGGCCACCAGGAGGCAGTATGTGACCAGTTTCATCCTTTATTGGGACTTGTCAGACATACATAGCTAGACCTTACTCTGTGGGGTTCAGACACGCTACTGGAAATTGAACTCACAGATAATTGTGTTTTAGATAATTATATAAAGTCCATGACATAACGTAACATCTGTATCTCTGTAAGCTTAAGAGAAAGTAAAGCGTATATACCATTTTGATAAAATCTCTATGACTTGGAATTATTCACTCAGCCCTGTCAAACATTAACTACCTTTGTCTTGATACATGAATTAGAATATCCATACTTCTTGTTAGTCTGTCTAACATTCACCATAAATCATTCAGATTTTCAGCCAACAACAAGTATCTTCTATGTACATAAGTACCATATATTTACATCCCCAACCAGTACACCTATGCTGACACCACAATCTGCTGTAATATATTTATCCATAATACTTTAAACAACCAAAGGGATATAAAACATCAGAACTGAAATATTCACTAAGTGTTCCATTTATATTGTGAGGAGATCAAACCCCTCATTCTGTACTTCCATATATACAGCTCTTATGACATCCTACAGCCAAACTTCAGTTCCATATTTGCACAGAATGTTCCATAAATTGAACTGCTTCACTTTATTAAATACAGTTTCTGTATTAATAAATATGCAGTAAACTTTCTTACATTTACAATAATCTGCAAACTCTGGTCTGCACATCCCTGCTTAGTTTTACTCATTGTCTTTTCACATACCTTTTTGATTAGAATTTTGTCCATTGCCTTTCTAGCCACAGCTAATAAGCTAACTGCCTGTAGTTTCTTTTTTTGCTGCTTTTAATCTTAACCGTTCCTTGCTTTCTTTGACTATATGTTTTTATTTATTTATTATATGTACTGTGTTTGTATAACACTTTCAATTTGACCATATCCTTTGCAGTTATCTTTTTCTCTCTACTACATTATATTGTATAATATTTTTTGTCCTAATTTTTTGCAGTGATCATACTTTTATGTGTATTTTGTTCTAATCCACAGCCTCTTTTACTTTGTCATTCCACCAAGCATCCTTTTTGTATATTCCTTCAGGATATCCCCACACACTTCTGTGGCTCCCTGTAACATTATTTTTTTTACTCCATGCCAAACATCCTCTCTTCTTAAATATTATTTCTATTCATTTTGTAGAGAAATGAACCTGCAGTTCTTTCATTTTTTTTCCTTTTTTCATGTGCATTTTTTCCAAGATGTACTCATAACACTATCAAACGATCTCTGACACATTCGCCATCTTATTGCCCTTTATCCTTCATTAACTCTATCTTGTTGTGTAAGAAAAATCAGTTATGCTTTTTGATTCTTTTCTTTGCCATGTGTATGAATGAATAGACTTTACTTAAACAACATATTCAAAACAGACATTTTTCTAAACACATTCAACAGATCATTGTTCTCATTCATTCTTGGGTCTCACTTTGTCTTTCTTGTCTCATTCCCACCAGTTCCATTGAAGTAATCTAAAAGAATAATTTCCCCCCATAGATCACATTCATTCAGTACATTGCATGATTTCCCCCAAAACTCATCTGGGGTCCTTTCATATTCACTGTTCACTATTATATAGTATACTATACATTCTACTTTCATATATACTCAACAATCTGGATAGCTCCAGTTCATACTCTGTAACATATATTTTAATGTTTTCATTCCTAATTAAACCTGCATCTTCATTTCCATGCATGTATTTATCAACTCCAGAAGATCAGATCACTTTCATTCAGATCTCTTGCATCCTTCCCCTTTCTGTTAGTCTTACAAATACATAATCCATCTATTTTTCTTTCTTTTGTTTGTTAATACCTGGTCTTTACACTTATTCGTCTACATTCCAAGTTACAATCTTCCAAGCACCATGATCATCACCAGATAAATAATCAATTCTATGCCAG